CATTTTCAATTGTATGGTACTGCAATATCCACCTCGATTACAAACCATGTCTATCAAATGACCGTGCAAGCTACTTCAAAAGATAGAAAACACTGACGCAAATTGCTATATACAGAGCCAGGCTCCCAAGGTTGGCAATGCTCCTGCCAGCAGTCATACTCACCCGTGCTAGAGCCTGGAATCCATTATCTGTGAATTGTGAGCAAGCAGCCACCTCCAGTGTTTCTAGGTGTGTACAGTGTTGGGAGAGAACTACCAGGCTTGTGTCTGTTAGATGCGTACAGTTGCTCAGACACAAGTACCTTATCATTACACAATTTTCTGCCAAGGCAATTACACCTCTGTCGCTGATTGCCTGGAAGTCAGAATTTTCTGTCAGAATTCAGCAGTGGTAATTTGTATTATCATTTTTTTATTTGTAATTTTCTCTGTCATAATATTGTTCTAGCTTACTTTTAATTTAAGGCAATGGGAACACTTGAAAGAATATCAGAATAACCATAAGAAGACTATAGCTGTATCTAAACAAAATGGACAATGAAAAATTATTAACTTTGCATAAAGTATAAAAAAACAAACATTCAGACAAGACCACAAATTTGAAAAGACCCTATCATATCAACAGAATACAAGTGGAGTTATCTCAAACTTACGGAACAGCTGTGAAGGTTGATGTGTTCAAGATTTTTACAATACTGAGCAAGTGATATGAGAGCAGGGTCTGTGAGGGATTTCAATCCTTTACCAACAAAACCTTTAAGTTTGGGGCAGCCATGAGCCAAGGCATCAACACCTGTGGGAAGAGCCAGTCACTCATTATCTGCAGCACTGTCAATCTCCAAACAGAAGATGAAAATAAAAGGATGATAGATATAACACAAGGCTAATTTTCCTATCTAGTACATTATGCAAGAAAATCGCTTAAAAATCCTTAACAAAACATCATCTGTGAATAATACTTCAAATCAAAATACTAGGAAATATCTGGACATACTTCAAAACTTCAAACACATAACCCATGAGAAATTTAGAAAACTTATTTAGTATGGATACTTAATGAAAATATATCATCATTCATCCTATACCTTTCAGCACATCTGTTCTCGCTCTTATTAAGAATGAATCATCTACCTGCAATGGCTGACCGGAAACTAACCATTCTGAGCTATGTTTTCACACCAGGACACATTTATCCACTCCAAGTTGGGGCAACCATCACTGAGTGCTTTGAGGGATATGTCTGTGATCTGGGAACAGGAGTCGAGGTCCAACTTCACCAGACGTGGACAGTGTCTGCTCAGAGCTGTGCATGTTCTGGAAGGGGATAAAAAAAAAATAAACATTAAATGTTTTTCTCTTCTTTTTTTAAGACCTAGACTAATATACAATATCACCATGGAATTTTTTTACTTCCTTCTAGGCCATACATCATATTTCATGCTCTAGGCTTTTATGGGATATAAGGACAAGGTTGCCATTTATTGTACATAAAAATGCAAAACTTTTTAAAGAATCATAGTACTCAACCACAATATTTCATTCTTAGTACTATATGCCCTACAGATGGGCTTCATGAATCTGAAAATTGAGAACTTCAACTGAGAGAGAGAGAGAGAGAGAGAGAGAGAGAGAGAGAGAGAGAGAGAGAGAGAGAGAGAGAGAGAGAGAGAGAGAGAGAGAGAGAGAGAGAGAGAGAGACAGAGAGAGAGAGCAGAGAGAGAGAGCAGAGAGAGAGAGCAGAGAGAGAGAGAGAG